GCCTAAGGGCCACCTTAGCAAAGCGCATCCCAGGCTGCATAGCCGCACTACCCTACCCAACCATACCACACATAAACATGACACTACCCCCGGGGTTTACACAGACGAGCCGGCGAAGCAAGAAGAGCGCCAGAAGAAAGGGCCCTAGCCGGCGGGGCCCAGCCAGGACAAAAGGAGGTCCCACAAAGCGCCTACACCGGCCGCATTTGCGGTCGGGGTAGACGACGGATGGGGCCCACCTACGAAGGCTGTCCAGGCCTACACGAGATGAGGCAGGATAAAGAGGGATAATCCCCCTCGATCCCAAATCATTGAGGCCAATTTCTAGCCATAGAATAATGGCGCGAGATACTTGATTAATGAGATCAAAAATAATTAATTAATTAGTTATTATTAAACATGTTCTTTATAGTTCTAATTTGGCAATTCATGTATGTTCAATGCAAATAAGCTTAATTTTGAATATTTCATACTTTTCCAGATTCTATAGATTTAAACTATTTTTAGGCTGTTTTTTTGTGAATGACTCCTACGGGCTTATCCACAGATTCAAGGTTATTTATATATAAATAACTGTTAGGATTGTAATTTTTTAAATATTTTATTAACTAAGATATAGGTTGGTATTATTTTCAATATTATATGCATGGAGACTAGTCTCCATGATTATATGTATTACGATATGCGTACGTATCCAAAATAAAAAGGGAAAAAAGTTGTATGGCTATTTAAATTATGGGAATAAATAGTTTAAGCATTTAAGCAATATATTGTACGATTGTTTATTAAAAATATAAAACAAGAAAAAACTATTAACCTTCACCTGAGTGAACTGCACCAATCAATGCGCCTACCGATGCGTTCCCGTACTAAAGCACATACCTATCAAAGGTGGGAGGTATGTGGAAAATTGGCGCCCCTGGAATGTATGCAACTTATGAGTACAGGACATTGAAGGGTATTCTAGGCATAGATGAGAAAAGTTAGTATTTTTAAAATTTGCTTAGATCTTAGACCATTTAACTACATGGAGGAGCATCGCGTGTTAAAAGGTGTAGACGCTGTAGAGAAAAAAGAGCCATAGTTAGGGTATTTGCTCTCTCTCTTTTAATTTTATTTGAAAATCGCGGAGGAACACGGACCGTGGCGGAGGAAGTTGTGTCAGCCAATCACGTGCCTGCGCGAGAGAGAAAGATAGTTTCCAAACTATCGCTTTCTTTCCCTGTCACTAGTCTGCACTGTCCTCGTAAGCGTGCTTTCTTCATGCTCTAAGGACTCTAAAGTTTAGATGGATACAAATATATGTATAAGAAATATACACATGAAAAATTATACATTTACATTTCTAGACTAGGAATGATTAAAACTAATAAACTTATTGTTTTTAATATTTATAAATAATATTTATACATAGATAATAAGAAATAATAGATACATTTAAAATAGACTGGACAATATTTTTGAACAACTTGCCTAATAAGTTTTATACGATTTTAGATGTTTCAGTATTCTGTAGGCCTTCAGCTCTTAATCTCTGTAAAATAGGCAAGTATATTTCAGTGGCGAAAGGTAAGATGCAACCACGTTCTTGAATTTCACCTAAAAAAATCAATCAATTAAGTAGGTAGTACGCATATCTCATTGTTTTCTTATTCTGTTTATTCAGTCCGTTTGTATTTTCTGCATTTTTGTAATATGACTTCATTATACAGGGTGGGCCATTAGTGTGAGAAAGTAACATAACTCTCTTGTTACTCATAATACAGAAAAAAAGTTTATATAAAAGTTGTACAGAATCAAGAAACCTAAACCACAAAATTAATTTGAAACATACAGGGCGATGCTTTATAACACCAGTTGTGCTTTTTTTAACGACTTAAGGTTTTCCAAAAATTGTGATTGTGTTAAGTAAAACTTAATATCGTTTTTGAAAATTTCAAAATATAACAACTTTATGGTCTGTCAAAGAACTGATCTATAGGTTCCTATTCTACAAGGTGCCTCTATGTGTCAGGGTAATGTACAATGCTTCACCAGTGAAATACACACAGCGCACAAAAAAGTTTTGGTAGTTTAAATGCGTCCTAATGGTCGCTTATGGCGCTCTGTAGAAGATACAACGAAATCGTCGATAAATTCGCACTTCCCATCCTCCAAAAAACCTCCGGATACGAAATTAGCTCGAAGTAGTCGAAAGATATTAAAGAAAATGTTATTTATTTTTGTAAGACATCCTGTAGCTCCGTTATTATCAATTTTTTGACTAAGTCTAGTTAAGTTAAATCGACTTATTTTGAGTCGTACTATATCTGGTGGAGCGTTGTACAGACCCTTTAGAAACACCCTGTATATGTATTTAAAATACAGTGTATTGATTTACGAATGATTTCCCACGTGGTTGGTTTCATGTCAGATGCTTACCATCTAGGATCATTTTTGTAGCGATAGCAGCAGGATATCCCACAGTTTTTGCCATAGCTGAGTGACCATTGACATCTCCATAAACCACTAGATTTATCCCCCTCGTTTCTTTCTTGTTGTCAGGCCAAAGTATACCAATGTCGTGCCGGAGAATTACTATGTCTCTTTCGTTCTTTTCTGTAGACACAATTAATACGTTTTACATAATATGTAAATTTCAGAACATTTAAAATTAATACCTAATGCTAATTTTGTCGACAGATATTGAGTAATTGTGTCCAAAGGCGATCCGCACTTCACCACGCTCTTCTCCTCCAAAAGTCCAAGTTCCTCCAACAAGTCCACGGCATAATCTGATCCAGTCCTCTCGTTTATCTTGTTCTTCAGATTATCGTAAAATATGTTCGAGTCTTCCACTCCCAAAAGGTCGCAGATGAGCTTCCTCCAAGTGATGTCAGGTCCCTGAGCATGCAGGCTAGGATGGGGCTCGGTATCCAGGAGCCCCAAGAATTGCAACTGTTTCGCCGCTTGGGCAAAACCGCAGTACCTTAAGGTACCTCTCAGGATGGTATTTGCGTCTTCTATACCGTAATATTTCGCGTACTTGGTACTGTCCCTGTTCGGAAAGCCTTCCAAGTTGAATCCTGGTAGGAAGTCTAAGGCTTTGGCCGCCCTCATTAGCTCGCCCCCTTCTTTGATTTCGACGATTTGACCTTTTCTGAGATACCTGGAAAATATTAATTAAATCAGGTTACATTGAATTTGGAATGTAAACCCGCGTAGAACTTTATTTTCTGTTACCTTGCGGACGACAAAGTATTCAAGAGCGCTCCTCTAGGTGACCAAGAGAACTTGTACCGAAGAGGATTGTCACTGAACTCGGGAGCGGGTAGCCCCCCGCAAAAGGATTCGAAAGAGGTAACCCTCCCTCGTCCTGCTTTTACCTCTTGAATGCATTCCAACGCCAGTAGATGATCGATACCAGGATCTAGACCAACTTCACTCAAAATAGTCACCCCAGCATCGGCAGCGGCTTGGTGTAGATCTTTGACTTCGTTGCTCATGTAGCTCGCTGTCACCATGTGGGTTCCTTCGGTAATGCAAGCTTTGGCGACGATTGGGTGGAGGTTCGCGGGGAGAATGGAAACCACGACATCCGCTTTCCTTACCAAGTCTTGTAGGGAGGAAGTGGCTTCTAAAGCGTTGAGGTAGACGTTTTCTACGCCTGGGTAACTGTTTGATAGGTTCTCGCTTAGTTCCGTTTTCTCGCAAGCCACCGTTATGTCGATTGATTTGTCTCTGTAGAGGTATTCGACCAGGGGGGCTGCCACTCGGCCTGCCCCTACGATGAGGACGCTCTTTTCTGCCACTTTTGTTTCGAGGCCAGCTTTATGTCTGCTTTTGCTGAAAGAAGAAGAGAGTTTTGAATATTTTTTGTAACAGTCGTTGTTGTAACTTTTCCGAGGCCTGTTCAGTCCAATTAAATAAGCCTTTAAATCGAAATTTTGGCCAACTTGCCTGAATTTTTGATACGAGTTAGTTTGAGGTATGTTATAACAATAAATGACAGTAATTTTCTGTTCAACCCCCGGCCAAGGGTGAAAAAAGATAAAACAAAGGTGTTTTTCAAGATAACTCAAAACGGGTAAGGGCTAGTATAGGGCTCGTATAAAAGTTGTAAATCATACAATTCTACATAAAAATGGCCTCTTGACTTTTTCTTGCATTATTAAAATTAACAGAGTTAGGGAGGCTAGAAGTTAAGGGAAGATTTCAGAAATTTAATTTTGTTAAATCATTAAAATTAACGATTAAAAATTTGATTTTTTGTTATAACTTTCTTATTAAAAATTAAAAAATATATCTATTTCTCTGAAAAGAAAGGTTACATTTTTTAGAGTAGATCGAAAAAAAAATTACAAAATTCATTCATTTTTCTGCTTATGATTTTTTTAAATTTCTGAAATCTTCCCTTAACTTCTAGCCTCCCTAACTCTGTTAATTTTAATAGTACGAGAAAAAATCAAGAGGCCATTTTTATGTAGAATTGTATGCTTTACAACTTTCATGAAAAACTATTTTTTCTAGCTCATACCCTTTTTGAGTTATCTTGAAAAACCCCTTTGTTTTATCTTTTTTCACCCTTGGCCGGGGGTTGAACAAAAAATTACTGTCACTTATTGTTATAATATACCTCAAACTAACTCATATCAAAAATTTAGGCAAGTTGACCAAAATTTCGATTTAAAGGCTTATTTAATAAGAACATAGTTCTTTGATATCGACATTGTGAAGTATAAGTTTACTAACAAACATTTCAATTTTTTGAGGCGTCTTAAAATTTCATGATAGTTTTTTTTTTTTAATAACAGTTTTACAACAAATATATTGTATGATAAATTTGTTAAAAGTGATTTTATGTATGTATAAAATGCCATTTTTAATACTTGTATCATAAATAACTGTTTGCTTTTTTATAAGATGTTCAATATAAAAAATGAAAAATAATACTTCAGAATCGATAGATTTCAGATATATTTTTAAAATCAATTCATGTTTTTAATAAAAAGTATTTGAAAATATTGTTTCTTTAAAGCACATGTGTTTGGTTGTATTTTAGTGCCAACAACCTCTGACATTGATATAGTTTAGGTGAAGTAAATAACACCAATCCCACCTGATGTGATATGACAATAGGGCACTAAGGTGGCAAAAAACAACATTTTATTATATTTCTTTCAGTCTGGTATGAAAATTAATAAAAAAATCAGTTTTCACAATACCATGGTATATCAGGAAAAAACTTTTGATTTGTAGTTCTAAAGTTCAAAAGTAACTTTCGTAAATATGACCCCCATTGAAATTTACACCCTGTATAATGATTTACTTGCTGAAATTAAAGGTAAATATCTATAAAAATATAAAACCGACATTTTCACTAGTCTCTTTAATAAAAAACTGTTCCCTTTTAGACTAGGCGGAATCTGTTTTGGTTTGGGTGAATCGTATATCCACGGAGATTTTTGGCTTTTTGGCTTTCAAATATCACTAGAAATGAATTAAAAAAATTCGAAAAATGTCATATTTTTCTTCCTATTTCATTGTGTATCTTTTCAAGAGTTGATTTTACGAAAAAAGAAAAAAAAAAAAAAATGTGTAAAAAAAAATTACACAATATGACTAGTTACAAATCCACTGAATCATGATTATTATTGTAAAAATCGAAAAAATCGCCAAAAATGGGGTTAAAAACATTACTTTTTAGGGAATTTATTTGGGGTCTTTAAGTTGGGTATAGGACCTTTATACTTGGCTCAAGAAAAGTTTATGTTATGTAGAATCATCACACCAATTTTCATCAAAATCGGTTAGAAAGATTTTACATAATAATTTTGCAATCCAGATTTGGAAAAAAATTTGCAAAATTTTAAAATTTTGCGCAGCAAAAACCAAGGTTCTTAAATACTTGAAAATTTAATCACATATAGAAGGGGTATCAAGCTTTCAAACGCTTTTTGAAAAATTCGAATCCGTCAATTAGGAGAGCTCTGGCGCTTGTTTAAACATTGGTCGAATTTTTGTACTATAATTTTGTATTTTTGTAATATACTTAATGAGTTAATTTCTCATTTGCTTATATTTTAAACAGTAAATAATATTTGAATTATACTTTAATCACAAAAGAAATGATGATTAAATTAATAAATGAATTAGGTATAAAAAATCAATAACCTGCTTTAAAAAATTTGATTTGATTGAATATTCACAAAGTTATTCCAATTGTTTATAAGTACAAACATTCGACCAATGTTTAAACAAGCGCCAGAGCTCTCCTAATTGACGGATTCGAATTTTTCAAAAAAAGTTTGAAAGCTTGAGAGCCCTTCTATATGTGATTAAATTTTCAAGTATCTAAGGGCCTTGGTTTTTGCTGTGCAAAATTTTGAAAATTTGCAATTTTTTTTTCAAAATCTGGATTGCAAAATTATTATGCAAAATCTATCGAACCGATTTTGATGAAATTTGGTGTGATGATTCTACATAACATAAAGTTTTCTTGAGCCAAGTATAAAGGTCC